AAAGGCAACGTGCTGTGGTCTTGGAGTACTTGTACTAATAATGGTCCCGTGGCCTGTACAGTGGGCAACCTGGGTCGGATGCTCACGCCAATTCTGGGTGGTCCCTCTTGCAGTGAACGTAACGAGAAGACCTTGCCACGTCGTGCCGGAAGAAGACGGTGTCCACTAAGTCTCTCCAGTTGTCTCACGGCCTCCACAAAGCAAAACACGACCTGCCGCAATGTACACGGGACGTCCATTCGCTTGGGGGGCTTGTCCAGCGCACGAGCTGCTGCAAGCTCGTGTGGTGGGCAAACCTTGGTTGAGGCAACGAAATCCACCACCAGTTCCAGGTATGTAGCGCCTGTCACTGCCTTCTTACGCAGCGGCTGCAGGGACCACTGGAGACCAGAAAGCCAGTCCCAGAGAGGCACGGTGAACCATGGTGGCCAGGAGCAGGCCAATAGCCATTCTCTGGAGGCCACCGGAACTTGCCAGGTCTGAAAGGGGCCAGCATCTTGCTTTTCCCACGCCGACAAGCAAGGTAGTCGCGGGACCTCATGATTGTCATCCTGTGCAGGGGCACTATGCGCCTTGACTTCTTTTGCAAGCTGGCGTAGCAATCGGCATTCTTCCTGGGAGACCTGCAGTAGATAGCGCCAGAATAGCCAAAGCAGGTCCCGCTGCTCGGCAAAGAAGTCCGCTGCGTTCCCTGTGATTGCTTGAACCACTGGGAATTCCCTTTGAAGTGCTGCTTTGGCCGCTGTGTCCACCACGTGGTTACCAGCGGCTAGCCATTGCTCCAGTCCCCACAGTTCATCAAGGTTTTGGTGGGACGAAACCTTGTGAACAGTGATGCGCACCGAAGCAACCTGTTGCAGCTCTTCCTCTTCACCCAAGTCAGGCCACGTGCCAGTAGATCCAGCAAGAGCACGCTGCCACTCCGACATGGCAAAGGTACTGTCGGTCCAGATTTCAGCGGACGGGGCTCCAGACGAACTCGCGAGTCGGGCAGCTTGTAGTATCGCAATGGTCTCCGCCCTGTTGATGCTCTGCACACCCGGAACCAGGCCCTGGTCAACCACGTGAAAGCTGGTGGGTAAACGTCTATGCTGGCGCCACTGTTGGAGGAGGGTCGGAATCTCGGCATCACTTTCCGAGGCGTCCATGACCACGGCCCATGCGGCGCGGCTTGCTTCAGGCAAATGGGGGCAGGAGCAAGAACCATCGGTGAACAGGCGCAGGCACTGCCGCTGGCGCAGTAAAGGTTTCAGCCCAGCAGGAACGACCGGTGGTAGGAGTTTCCGTGTCGCAAACACGAGGCGGCTCACCTCCAGATCAGGAGCCATGCCGGCATACGGCCCATGCAACCAATGCGGCCACATGCGCAGTGCAACGGAAATGTGAGGCTCCCATTGCTGGCGTATGTTGGAAAGGGCAGGGCACTCCAGAAACTTATGGGCCTTAGTTTGCTTGGCACCGCAAAGTGGGCACTCGCCGTCCTCGCACTCGTCCCATTGCGCCCGTGCCTGTGCAGAGGCAAAAGCGCCTGTGATGTGGCGAGCAATCACACCTTGCTCACCTGCCGCGAGCTTTGACAGCAGTTGGCCAGTGGTATGGGGCAAAGGTGGGGGGGCCACGTGGAGGCCGTTTCTGTGTTTGACACATTGCTGCACCTGGAGACTCCATGCACGTTCGAGCAGACCTCTGACCTCTTTTCGGCTGCAGGAAGACAAGTAAACCCGACTGTTATCAGGACCCTTGATACAAGCATCATCGTCCATGGAGAGGCCCAAACGCTGGAACGTAACGGCCAGTGCCGTGGCAGGACCATGTACCTGCCTCACTCCAACTCTTTCATTGGCAAGGGCAACAACTGAGCAGGCAGTGAACGTATCTCGCAGGCAGGCTCGGCGGAGCGCAAGTAGCTGCTGTTCGGCACAGTAAAGTTGAGGGTCCTGCACACAGTCCGTAAGTGCGCCCAGCGCCAAGTGGGGCGAGAGGATGCGGTAGTCGCCTGTGATGGCGCGGGCTGCTTTGCCTCTCAAGGTTTGCAAGTCGGCAAGCGAAAAAGCATGTCCTTCACTGCCATGCAAACATTGGGGCCAGATGCCTCGTTGGATCAAGGAGGCCTTTTCAAGCACGGACCGGGGCTGCTGACGCAGCCTCTCGAGGCGTTGGGCCCCTTCCTCCAGGCGGTGGTTACGGGCAACCCGGTGTGGACGACCATCGTACTTATAGGCGATCCCTAAATCCTTGGCCTCGCAAACAAGAGGTACGGGGCAATCCGGCGGGAAAAGGTTCGGCCGAACTCTTTGCCACCACAATCGGTCAGGGCGTTGAGTGGCCCATAGGTAGGACTTCTTCCAGTCTATCGGGAGACGCAGACTGTCCAGGAAGCGCAATGCTTTCGGCACGGCGGCTTCAACTGCTGTGGTTGATTCACCCGACCACGCCCAGTTATCAACGTAAGAGTCGAAGACAACACCATCAGTGGCACAGAGGTTATGAGCCCAAAAGCACAGGCCGGCCATGGCGGCAACGGAAAAGGGGTCTCCCTCGGGTGCACCGTTATAGCACCTGATGGCGGGGCCAAGGTCGCCCAAGAAGGCAGAGCGGCGTTCCATTTTTGACAGACAGGTGAACCAGAACTCCAGCACGTCCCTGGGAAGGCCCAAAGCGTGAAGCATGTGGTAAAGTGGGGCCCAGCCGAGCTGATTGAAGCATTTGACAATGTCAATGGACAAACCCCGTCGCGGGCGTTTATGCACCAGAGCACATTCAATGGCGTGTTGCTGGCGGTAGCTGAGGTCACGACTGGAGCGGCCCGGGAGAGACCCAGCAATGTTCTCCGGAAAATGCGGGGCCCATTCCTTCAAAACCTTACAGGTGAGGCAGGACGACCAGACTCGGTACAGGGTGCTGTAGATGGTAATCGGGCGACTCTGCCGAATGCTGTCGGGAGCAAACACCTTGGCAAGTACGCTCACCCGAGCCTGCAGCATATGTGCGGGCATGCCGACCTGAACTGCACGTTCAAAGATGAGTTGCAGCACTTCAATGGCTTCTGGCGGCAGAAGTTTCAGGTCACTGACGGCCCATCCGCAGACACCTGTGGCCTTCCTGCTTGACATACGCTTTATAGCGTCTCTCCAAACGTCCGGAGAAATGGAAGACAAAGAGACCGGGGGCAATGAAATGTTGGAGTCGGCAACCAGCTCCCCAAACTCGGGCCAATGATCTAGACTTGGGGCCGTGGCACGGTCACGCTGCCACAACGGACTCCAGAAGTCCGAGAACACGCGGTGGAGTTCATTGGCGGTGCAAGCACCAGAATCCTGGACCAACAAGCCGGGCTGAAGTGGCTCGCCCTGCAGAAGAACGTGATCACCAGCCACGTCGATCACATGGCACTCGATTTGGTCAAGACGGGCAACCGCCCCAACTCGGAGGGAAGGGCCAGGCACAAACTGAAACCAGCTGTGCGCGGGGGGCGCGGGTCTGCTAGTGGGAGACAGCTGCACGGAGACCTGGCAGGGGACCTCAGTAAACGGAGGCGGGGTCGGCCCGCGCATGGTCTGAAAGGCACCACGGTGATGCCCATGTTTCTGGTCAAGCACAAGTTTGTATTTGAAAGAGTCCCGTCTTTGCTTGGCCTGGGAACGAGCGAAGGCATTACAGTCAAACTGCAGATAGGCCAGCAGATCCGACAGCCAGTCAGGGGACGGCAAGGCATCCGGGAAAGTGTTGAAACAAGCAATCCGGAGTGTCCAGGTCACGAAATCAGGCGGGAAGCCCTTGGCGTTGCGGAATGCACTCCACTCACTGGTAAGGTTAGTACGCAGCTGCTCAGCCACTGCGCTGGAGGTGGTCCGATGGAGCTTGAGAAGGCCTCGCAGAAGTGTCTGGGCTCTTCGGACCTGCCGCACACGCATATGGCCTTGTACACTCGTAACCTCCTCATCGGGCGTGTAGTCGCCGGTGCGGGCGGGTCGGACAACACTGGGAACTGTCCGTTGCACAATCGGTCGGTCAACACAGCGGCCTCGATAAGCCTTGGGGAGGCAACGGTGCGGGTACCTCAGTGGATCCTTAGCATGCTGGCGGGAAAGGGCAGTGTCCACACAATCCTCGACGCTCTGGGAGAAAGCGAGCAGAGTTTGGGCGACCTCTTGCTCCGAGGTGCAACTTTGGGCCTGCCGGGCTAGTGCAGGCGCAACAGATTGAAAGGCAGCCTGGATCGCCGCAGGTTCAGGCGACAAAGACGACCATGCACGAGGTAAATTCCAGCTGCGCCGAGTGGGTTGGTGCGGGCACACCTGGAGCCGAAAACACAGTGGGTCGTAGCTGTCGAAGAGACGCGACTTGTCAAGCACCCAAGCGGAGTGCCACAGGGGCAGCAGGGTAGGGTGGAGCAGAGCAGTGTCATGGCGTGTGGCCCCTTTGCACGTGGGTGGTAGGGCCGTACCAGTGGTACGCTCATGAAGCTCAAAGATTTCCCGGTATCCCAACGAGTGCAGCTGAGCACCACTTGGTAGTTCCAACACTGGGCAGTTGAAATCGCCCGCAATGATGGTCGGAACACAGTTACTGGTGGCACGCATTAGCACCTGAGACATCAAGTCTTCGGTCCTTTCCCTGGCGTCAGGATAGGACAACGGGTAGCCGTAGACAGTCAGCAGGCGAACTTCCAACACCCCCAGACGGATAAAGGCCTCCCCGATGCGGCAAGTGGCCAAGGTGGCATGCGCTAACGCAGGTGATGCGGCTCGGCACGGCAAACGCGAAGTAACGGCGACTCCAGCCGCCAAACCGCGTAGGCAGACCTTGTCAGATCCCTCACGTTGGTGGGACGGAACGGGTGCCCCCCAAATGGTCTTAAAGCCGTGTTGGCGAAGCTGGTGGCCCACCAGGCCTTGTACTTGCGAGACGGCGGAAGTCTCAGAGAGGCAAATGACATCCGCTGCAGTTTCAAGGAGAGTGTGGGTTTTGTGGAGAATGCTGGTGGGATTCACCACCGCAATGACACAAGAGTCGGACGGTCTCTCGGCCTCCGAGGGCGCGGCCGTAACAGTGTTGCGCACCGGTGCTCGCCGTGGACGGCTTTGGCAGAAGTGCACAGCGCCCTGAGCTTGCAACGGGCCGGGGCTCGCGGGGAAAAAATTGCGTAGGTCCTGCTGGGCAGTGGGGCCTGGTCTGGTAGGGGCACTAGCGGCACTGGCAGCCGGCAGGTCCCGAGGCAGGTGTTGGGGAACTGAGAAGTATGAGCCCAAGTTGGTCTGCCGTGATGGGCCAGGATTCTTGGCCTCGCCCACTCGCTGGCCCAAGTACCGGGGAAACGACCTCCGGGTGTGCAATGGGAAAACAAGACAAAGCCGTAGGCAGGATTGTCGCAATCCGGGAGAACACCTTTGTTGGGTCGTCTGCCTAGCCTCGTTATTGTTTGCAGCTGGAGTCCCCCAGCAAGAGGCAGATGCACCGCTGAATGTGAGGACATGGTCAAGCAAATCCCGGTCACCGGAGCACAAATGCAAGGCAGGTGGCTGAGGTGGCAGGAGATGGCACACGAGGCGTGGCGTTGTACAGGAGGCAACAGAGATGTTCTGGAGCAAGGGGGAGCACAGTGGGGCCCTGTCGTGACAGGGTGTTGCTGCCCACGGCAGGCTCCACAGACAATGCAAAAAGCAGGAGGGAAAGGAACGAGGCGGAAGGGCCTGGAACGGGTAATCAGTACAAATCCCCGGGGCTATCTGCGCAGGGACTGGGGTCCACGCACATGCGGCATCCTGCTTGGAAAAAGGACAGCAACAAATGGTCCGGGCAGGGCAGGAGGCAGTGCAGCGAAAGTATACAGCACACCCATGCCAAGGAAGGGGCTCGCCGTAATCCACGAGGCCTTGTACAGAAGAAAGACAATGAGTGGCCACAGTGGCGGAATGCGGGATTGTGGAGACAGGATCACACAGGCGGATGTTTAGCGGGCCAATACCCCGAGGCCCAAGGTCAGTACTGGCAGTGATGGTGCCGAGGAGCGTCTCCGAGTTTCTAAACCAAGAACAGGAATCACACACCGGGCGGCCGGCAGCACATGTTTCAACTTGCTGTGGGCACGGTGGCGACAGAGTGCATGCCCAGTGGCAACCCCAGCACTCAGGAACAGAGTAGAATGCCAGCGCATCCGAGTACAACAGATGACAGTATTTGCTGCCGACAGGCAGGGGAAGACCAATTGCGGCAGCGGCGCCCAGGAGGTGCCCTGCAATGCGACCAAAAGCTGACACTTGCGGCCAGCAGATAACACCTGGCAGAAGTTGAACCCCATCCCCTGTCCAGTGCTGAAAAGGCCCCCTGGGGAGCGCAGCGCTCCCGAAACGAAGTTCGCAGGGAGGGAGTGACGACAGTCACAGTTCATCAGCGCCATTGAGGCGGGGTTTCTTGTTCTCAGCCTGAGCCAGCAAGAGGGCCTTAAGTTCGGCCATACCATGGTTCATCTGCTGTTCCTGCTGCATCTGTGCTGTCCGAAGGCTGTCAATGCTCGACTGAAGCTGCTGCTGCAAACCTGCGCCTAGGCCCTGCACTTCGCCTCGAACACTGTGCATCTCCTGAGAGAGGTGGTGGCGATCCTGCTGCCACTGCTGATGGGCTTGCTGTTGTTCGTCACGCAACAGAGAGAGACTCTGTTCCAACGCAGCAATGCGGTTGTCTTGCTCCTGGAGGCGGGCGGTGGCAGGCGGGTCAAGGCTGGCAGGAGGGGCCAGGACTTGAACGGGTGCAGATGGAGCAGGTGTCTGAGAGGCACGATAGGCACTCCAAGGATCACTCTCCAACCAGGGATCCGCTTCAGGAGACTTGGGGCCGTCACGCGTGTCTTTCTGCGGTGGCCGTGGGACGGAGCCACCCGCCTGCACAATCGGTGCCTGCGTATCCCGGTTCTTGACCTCAGTAATCAAGACAGCAGTATCGTTGAACCGGGCGGTGTACGTCGGAGGAGGCATCGGCGCACCGACCAACCAAAACCTGGGGCCGAGACTCTTCAGAACTTTGATCTGCCAGGGCAGTTGACAGGCCCATTCAGTCAGTGCCTCAGAGGGGGCGGCAGGTGGGAGAGGGCCGACCTTGAAGAGCAATTTAGCATCAATGGTGGCCGGCACGGGTTCCCCCGGTCGCAACTGCTTGAACAAGGACTGGAAAGCATGTGTGCCCACGCGCAGTCCGTATCGCGACTTGCCGCGGACCAGACCGTGCTGACCTGGTACAAGGAGGGCCTGTTTTTCCACCTCTGCACGACCGCTTTTCAGCCATATGACGGACCAGTCAGGTAACAGCTGGCGGTCCCAAGTGCGGGGGACAACATACACGAAGTTGAAGCCACTACACTGCAGCACTTTGCTAAGGGTAGGGCCTGGCACCTTGGCATGGAACATGAGTGAGTCACAGAGGTGGGGTTGGCACGGGCGCCCATTGCACCGAAAAGAGCGGCCCCATGGCTGGGACAGGGGCTGCGAGATGCCCTGAGACCGGAAACGCTCAGTGACTGCACGAACTGGGGCCTTGACGACCTCCTGCCAAGTGGCATCAGATGGGGCCTCATCCTGATACATCGCAAAGGAACAGCACACAGTATCCGCAAGGGCAACCTGTACTGAGTGTTCACTGTAGGGGCGTATATCCGTCTCACCGACGTTATGAAAACAAGCGGCGAGCAGGTGCTTCTTGCCCGTGCCTCGGTGTTTAACCGGAACATTACAGGCACCAGAGCATGTGTCAGGATCAGGACACCGGTGGCCAGGGACCACCAAGCATAAAGCTTCGGAGCACATGTTTTGCAAAAGGGCATTGTCTTGCGCATTGGCAACGGAGGCATCGACCAACATCACCCCGGAGGCCCCATGGGAGATGCGTTGCAGCACTGGTACGGGCTGATTGTCAATGCCACACCAAGTGTCCGGCAACAATTCAAAATCCGCAGCGGCAACCGACTCCGCAGCCTGCAATCGGCGGCGCCGTATGGCCTTTTGAATTCGTTGGGCTGCTTTCTCAGTACGGTTGTCCCCGGCAGGCAGGTCAATGCCAGCAGGATGTGCAACTTGGCAGAGGCGCTGAAAGCGGGCTGTAGCATCCGGTAAGGACAACGGCTCCATACACGCAGAGGCACCGAGTTTGCTCACAAGACGGTCCACCGCGACCGTAACCTCCGCCAAAGAAACACCCCTATCAAGCAACAAGGCAGCACAGCGGCTCTTGGCCAACTGGACTTGATCATCCTTATTGCCGCCACCGCGGGTTTCAGGGAAAACTGTCAATGCAAGAGTACGCTGGGCGCCTTTGGTCTGGACACGGCCCTCGGCAGCAAGTTGTGACACAGGGCACTGGCAGTCAATTGGAAATGGGCCAGAGTAAACTCTCGCAATCGGCCAGCAGTCGAAACAACGGCTCGCATTATGCCAGAATTTAACAAGCTGAGCCGCAGTAAGGTCTGCAGGGACTCGGCCCACCCAGATGACGCGACCCTCGACCTGCAGAGCAACAGGTCCGAACAAGGCACCGTCCGGCTCACGTGCAACGGCCCTGATCTGTGACAGAAAGAAGAGCTCGCGGAGGTATTGCCTGAGCTGCGAGAGGCTCACAGCATCTGTCTGGCCCGTGGCAGAAAAACTGATGCACATAGGCGAGGCCTCAGTGGGGTCGGTGGCTTCTGCCTTCCATCCCAAGCATTCTAGAAGATGGTATGGCAGCTGCAGCCACCAGTCGGTCGCACATTGCGGTTCAACCATCAACTGGAAAGCACCGTCCAGGCATCGGCTTTGGCAGGCACGGACTTGGGCCCACTCCAGGGCCGGAGCATTGAAGAGGAGGTCATCAGTCTCCGTGGCAACAAAGCATGTGCCAGGGAATTCCCGGATGTCACTCAGGGGCTCCCCGAAGCAAGTCAGGCAGGTAACTCTTAGCCCATTTTCTCGGCATTTCTCGAAAGTCCACCGAAGCTGGTGCAGCACATCCGGCACAGACTTGTGAACAAGTACCATAGCACGTGGGGTGCATAGGAGCACCAGGTCAGAGTCAGCGGCTTGACTCATTCCACCCGCACTGAGGCTCAAAGCGGGGAGCTGAGCAGTTGGGACTTGCAGCACAGTCGCCTGTTTAATCTGTTGTGGGCAGGTCCAGGTAGCAGGAGTTTGGGCACCCAGGCGCTGCAGGGCCCGATCAACAGGAATGTGCACCGACACAAAAACCTGACGAACACACCGAAAGGCACCCGACTCAATCAAGCCCAGCTGGAGCACATGAAACTGCACGGGAGGGCTGCGCATGCAGGTCTCAATCTCAGCTCGTAGGGCCTTGTCTGCAAGTACATAGCCCAAGTCATCATGCTTAACCCAAAGCCAGCCTTGCTTCACCTTGAGAAGCACGCTGTTGCGGCTGTGCAGACGTTCATCAATGCACCGGCGGACGACTTCAGCAGGGTCCAGGCGCACGTGGGGCGCCAGCCAACGCAAAGCATTGGATATCGTCAGCGCCGCCTGTGGGACCGCGAGGGCATTACCATGCAAGCGCATGGACTGTTCGTCGTCAATAAGCAGCAGCTGTGTCCTAACTGCTCCATGGCAAGAAGCGATCTCCGGTGCAGAGAAAAAACGGATATCAGCACCAGTCGTCAACAAACTGCACAGCAGGCCACCTCTGGTCAGGAGACCCTCTGGTAGTAGGTGCTGCCTATGGTAAGCCGCCATGAAGCATTTGGCGCGTTGGTGCGGGTTACACAGGCGAAAGGCTCGAACAGAGTCGACATCCGTCTTTTGTCCAGGGGGCATGTACCATGGATCGAGGTAGGTCTGTAACAACTCAGCCGAGAGCTGACAGGGCTGTGCAAGGCTACCAGGCAGGACTGGAAAATATGCACGCATGATCGCCAGGCTGGGGCGAGGCACGGCCTGCCATGTGACAAAACCCTGGGCAGCATCCACACCAGGACCGGTCTCCTGGTGAATGAACACAAGCATGAGTCGACGGCGCCACGTGGGGGCGACTTCGGCTAACTGCAGTATTTCACGAGACACAAGCTGGTATCCGGCCTCGCGCCAGGCCTCCATGACATCAGCAAAGTGTGGATGCGCAGCAAAGCCGGCTACTTCTTCTATGCAGACGACAGGGGTGCGAACGACTTGCATCAACGCGGCCACTCGCAGCAACAACCTCCCATCCGGTGTGTCAAGGCCCTGGCCCTTCCCGGGTGTGGCCCAAGGTTGGCAGGGAGGTGACATGACTAACATATGTGGAGCGGCTCGGGTCCAAATGCCATGCCACCAGTCATGTTCAATGTTGGCCATCAGTGCCACAGGGGCAAGTTCACAGTCAACGGCCTCCAGCTCTGTTTTCGTAGATACTGGCTGCAAGTCAGGTTCCATGGTCTGCAGCGGAGGGAAAAGGTGGTCCTCCAGTTCCAACATCCAACTGGTGCGAATCGGGACCCCCAATGTGGAAAGAAGCCAGGTAGCCTGAGACCAGCCTGCAAAGCCACCACTGAACAACTCCGCAACCTGAATAGTTTCGTGTTCCTGAAGTACAACGTCAGCAGTCAAGAAAGCCGGCCCTGTCGTAGTGTCCAACACAACCCCCTCATCTCGAACCCTAACCCCAGCCCAAAGGGCTCGCAAAGATTGACAATGCTGGCCGAGTGTGTTCCAGTCTGCATACGTAACTCTGAGCACCGCGAGGCGCTGAGGGCTGTCTGCCGATATCACCGAGACTCTGCCGTCCTCAAGCGTTGTCTGAAGTTCCTGAAGAATCCGAGCTCGCACTAACACAGAATCATCACAGAAAACCGGGGAGCCCTCCTTGCGCAAGTGAAAGCATGCCTGAGTCCCATCAAGATTCCCCACTGCGGTACTGGCAAATGCGAACAGATTCTTATAATCTTGCCACCATTCTGAAACCATGGCGAAAGGAGTGTCACGGCCCAATCTGCAAGGGAGACTTTATCTCCCTCAACGACCTCGCCCCGAGTAGGCTTGGGCCCAGAGGCTCCCAGATCCTAAACCCTAAACCCCAAACCCCTAGACTTTAAACCCCCTAAACCTTAAGCCCTGAATCCGTTTGATCCGAGGCTCTGGAGCCCGGCTGGCGAGGCCTTCGTTGACGCTCCGATCGAAGTCGCCGCTCAAGACGCGATCCTGGGCTGCTGCTGAGGAACTTCAAGGGTTTGGGGTTCCGGGTTTAGGGTTTAGGGCTTAAGGCTTCAGGGATTAGGGTTTAGGGTTCCGGGTTTAGGGTTTAGGGCTTAAGGCTTCAGGGATTAGGGTTCAGGGTTTAGGGTTCAGGGTTTAGGGTTTAGGCTTAAGGCTTCAGGGATTAGGGTTCAGGGTTTAGGGTTCAGGGTTTAGGGTTTAAGGCTTAAGGAACGGGATCTGTAGTAAATAACAGGGTTTTGCTTGTTGTAGAGACTTAAGCTCTTTTCCTTAACAGCAACCCAGGATCTCTGAGCGTGAGGAGTGCCTCGACGTTGGGAATCTGAATGCCGATGCTCAACGCCGGCGGGGTGCCGCTGCGGAGGCGGCAGGCGGTGGGCTGGCGCAGTTCTACGTCCGCCAGGCATTGGCGCAAAGCAGGCTCCAGGATGTCCCCTTAGTACGCCCACGTTGCACCACTGGCAAAAAACCCCGCCCGAAGCTCAACGTGCTACCCCTGACTGCCCAGCACTGACTTGCAGTGAACAGCCATGATACTGAAATGACAACGGACGAAGTGTGCAGGTTTAGGGTTTAGGGTTTCGGGGAACCCTAAACCCTAAAAAGCATCCGTTATCGTTCGGGCCACAGCGGGGATTGAGCGTGAGGCATTTTGAGGAGCTGTGCCGGAGCGTCGTGGAGTCACGGTACGGTTTAGGGCCAGGGTTCAGGGGGATTTACTGTTCTCGATGCAAAGTTCGTGATAGTAACGAACTGATAAAAAAAATGTATCATCTCAGGCCGACGCCCCAACGGCGCAGCAGCTGCTCAACTGCCACGTTGAGGTGTCGGACTTGGCTGGCCTCAAACATGTCCTTCGTGGGTTCTCTGGACCACAGCAATTCTTCTAGCCGACCCTTCCGCTACAGCAACCGACAGAACTCATTTCCAAGGCATCCGAAGGTCACCAGAGTCGTCGTCAGATTTGATCTGCCAGAAAAACTCCGTGGACTCATCGCCGGACTCGGTTTTTGTCACTTTTTCCATCTGCTTCACCACGATGCCCTTGCGCCATCTGGAGTCAGCTTCGGTCTCATGCAGAGCATCCACTTGGGCACCCGGCGGAAACTGATCCCTGAGAAATGCTGTGACATCCACCTCCTCGTAGTCCCATCCTGGGCTTTGCTTCTTCATGAGGTTCGCCGTTGCCAGCTCAGACTTCTGCGAGCCACCACATCCAACCTCGGCTGTTCCGGTGCTACGCCGGCGTGTTTCAACAAAAGGGGTCCGGTGCCGCTGAAGTTGGAAAACTACAGCTTCTTGCTTGGAAAGACGACGCTGGCTCCTCCCTCCTTCACCTTCGGCCTTGCATGGCTACCTCATGTTACTGCCCTGGGCCAGAGTGCTAATATTTCAGGGGTTGCAGTGCACGGTGCCCTGGAACCCCCAAGAGAAGCACAGCCCCCAAGGCCCCGCCTGGCTCCGACTCCGAAAGCAAACGCTTCAACCACTTAGCCGCCTGAAGGGATTAAAAAGAACCCCCAAAAGAGTATAGGTAATTAATTATTGAGGCCCCTACAGTACCACTGAACTCCACAGTCGCGCTTTAAAGCGCGTGGCCCCCCGCTTTAAGTCGGGCCGGGGATCCCCGTCCCAGAGGTCCACCTCGCAGTCGGAGAGGTCCTCCATGCTCGGAATGCCGTAGCCCACCTGTCCCGGGTGATTGATTGAGATGAGCAGAAATCTACAGAACTTTGTGCCGTTGAGGGAAGGCTGATTCGGAGTAGGGTTTAGGGTTTTAGGGTTGAGGCTTTAGGGTTTAGGGTTGAGTCGTGCTGTTCCCACCTGGCGGGGAAAGAAGACTGCCTTCAGCCGCTGCTTCTTCTCCACAGCCGTGCATGCGAGGTCGAACCAGCGTTTGTACCAGGCACATCCCCAGGAGGCTGTGCGGCCCATCTTCTCCCATTGCTCTTCAGCTCTCTTCGTGGCTTCTTCCTTCTCTTCATCGGTTGCATCTTGGCGGATGGGGACCGCGTTCATTGCAGCGGCTTTCTCCCAGTGCTTCTTGATCCTGTCGTCCGTGTACGGTGCCTTCAGGACTGAGAGGTAGCCGAACGCCCTAAAGTCTCGCTCGCCATATATTCTTGCGCAATAGCACTTTCCCGGATTCTTGGGATCATCCGCGTGCTTTCCCAGGCCTCAGGATCAGAACGAGTTGAGATATGCATCAGAAACCTGAACCAGAAGTCCAGACGTTTCTATACAGTCCCTAGAGAACGTATCTGTGAGCAATGGTGCATTGTTGCCAAAAGCTCGTCTGCTCGTGCTCTGTTCATTGTTAGGCCGAGACTTGCGAACGCTGTGTAGCGCCCGAGGTCCGTTGCCAAGCACTGCAGTACCAGGAGAGTGATGATTAATTCACCACAGCCGCGACACCCTTTAATTGCTTATGGCAGGGAGGCAGGCAGGCAGGTAGGTA